TAGCAGAGATCCACACACTTAGACGCACAGATGTGAGAACTAATGATCCATTGTCTCTATTTACTCTACCTCAGCATTTTAAAAAGTTATGTAGCGCTTTGTAACTTGACCGCATGTGCGCCTTCACCAACATTCCTCCTTCTGATTCTCTTATTTGTCTAGGAATTTATATTATATTTCTCTTTTAATGGAATGTCAACTTACATTAAAGGACGTCACTGTAAACTGTCCACCACTTTACCTCTCCAAACAAGGGTTAACTATCCACGCGCTCATTCACCCGACCAACCTACCTATTAATTCACGTAGTCTTACCGTTTAAACCTCACTTAAGGCACGTGCCATACTTTAACCTGCAACAGTAGGCCTATGTCTCCTCCTTCCTGTATGGGTGTCTGTTTATGCGTGCATTGGGAGAACCATACACTACTCTCGTAAGTCGTACATTGGGATGTAAAAGGTCACAATGGAATAGCACAACTTGAAGTTGACTGTGGTTGACGGCTACATGAACAGGAGGGTGCGCTTCAAATACACAATTTTACTACGTCTGAGATGCACCACTGACAACTTTTCATCACCCTACCAGATTGCTCTTATTCTTTAGTTGGAGCTTAAGCATCAGCTTTGGAGGTACCCTCATGGGTGTGAATTAGTTGTTTTGGCAACAGATGAAAGAAATTGAAATTTCATGAACATTTTTCAATTGACTGACGGTTTGATTAATTAGATTGGTTGATTGGCCCCATTTTCTAGGCACTTGACACTTGGCACTTGTTAAATTTTGTGGCCCTCTGTACGTTGCTTTAGTTACACAACATCAGACCCAACACGTGTGGTAAATTATTTGATGTCTGTTGTCTTTGTTTAGGGCGGTTCCAATGTGTCTTTCCGGTGTAAGCTAAACACAGTTTAAGCATGACACAGTCGATCCCAAGACGCTTCTTCCATGACTTTTTTATACTGAGTACGCATCGACATGATGACGCTACCAGTCCCTCCTCAAGATAGTAAAGCTTCTTGCCTAATTTCGTTTTCAGTGACAAGTTTAGAGTGAAATACCACGTGATAAATCAATCAAAGCAACAGACTTGTCATTCTTCTCCTTCACCTCCTGTGTCGGGTCCATGAATGGGGAAGATCGGTTGGAGGTGGTGGATATCTCTTATTGCTTAACATATAGGGAGGATGGGTGATAGACTCCCTGTTCAAAGGAGCATGCGACCATGAAATACAAATTTGTATAAGTGGCTAAGTTTACGTGAAGCTGAAGTCCATGAAGGTACATGTATGAACAGGCTGAGGTTGTGGACACCTAAGGTATAAACAATCTTATTTACGTGTGTCCTGCCAAATTCAAAATCCCTAAGTCTTTTTCTCAAGCGCCTTTGAACCATTTATGGCCAAATTCAAGGACATGGCTCGTTTTGATTCAGCTAATCCTTACTTATCGCATTAAATCTTACCAGTGTCCTTATTTTTGCAGATAATTTCGACATTTTACCTGGATCTGATAAAATTTCCTTCTTGTCTTATGCCGTTTTTTTCTGGACACCTGTACAGGCAATTCCGATACGATATCTTGTGTTTGAAAGCAAAGATGCCACCACCAACTAACCTTTCGGTTAGAAAATTGCCATCCTCACAAATTGTATTTTGCGGCATTTTGAAGACAGTGAAACTACCTTAAACAATGTTGTTTTAACAGGCTTCTATTTTGCAAAATATTAAAGTGCCATATCAAACAGCATATAGATGCAGAGGGCACAAAGATAAATGCAGAAGAACGGGTGAAGTTTCTTCAAAGGGCTTGGTAATTTTTGTTACCTAGTAACTTCTTTTGTGGTAATGTTCAGCAATCTCCCTCATTCTAAAACAAGGAGATGAAACAATGCGACTTAATTGAGTCTTCATACTGATTCTTGGTTCTTGCTGATTTACTCTTCTCTATTTAGCCAGAATGATGAGAAACGTAAGGGCTACTGTAATGGATAGGAATCCAGACAGCATTCAGTTGTATGCGTGCACGTAGATGTCTTTTTGGTAATTCCTTCACTCTGATCGGAAATGCTCACACATTAGATTTATATCCGCTCTTGTCGACCTTGAGATATCACTCGATGGAAGGTGTAGTTTCAAGGTGCGCTGTGCAGTCGATGTGTTGTGCGTAAGCATGAGACAAAATGATTGTGCCAGATAAGTATTGGAGTTCGCTTACACCAAATGTTCCTTCTCCCTCCCTCTCTATCTCTTCTTGACACTCTCACCCTCTTTTTGTGTACATATCAAAACAAACGGGAGAAAGGATTAAATGCTGAAAACGGGGCACTTACAGATTGTTCCGGAAAGAAATTGCCTTGTGCCAGCTTATTGCATGCCACTTTTCTAAGTGTGTTGTTACATTCAAAAGTTAATTTGCACAAGCATTCCCCTTTTTTTTTAAAAAAAAATTGACTACACTAAAGTCAGCGAAACAAGATCAAAACCTTGCACTTTTTTAGTGTTGACGCATTAGTGACCTTAAGTGTTGTACAATTTGTGATCATGTCATTTCAGTAATGATTTAGCGTCTTGTCGGATGGTATTATAGGCTTTTGCATGAGTACAAAATAGACTGATTATCGACTTGTTAAATCGTAGTTAAGGAAAGAGGAACCTTGCTAGATTCGTAATTAGGCGTCAACTCTTGAAGAAAAGTGTACACCACCATTACCTCCATTTCACCACCTCATGGTTTGTCGTCAGTTGTCGTGTGTGGCCTTGTGATGGTATACTGCTACTGCAAATGCTAATACCGATAATGACTTTGAGGGAGGATGCCATCAATGACATGGAGAAGCAGCATCAGAGGAGCATGGCGGATAATTATTGAGATGAAGATGTAT